AAAAAAGTGATAAAATAAAAAAGAAAATATTGAAGCTAGGATTGCCGAAGCACTTTAAGTTAACTTCAACGCACCGCTAGAAGAAGTAATTTTTTTTACCTCCATCCCTATCCACCTAAAGATTTAAATATTGTGTTGTGTGGAATATAAAGATATCATCAATGAATTATGACTAATTTAGATACCAAAAGAAAAGTCCATTATTGAGATCGATTTCATATCTACCCTAAACATGACTAGCATGCAGCTCTTATTGACATTATATGTATGTGTGATTTAATAAGTTTTTTTTTGTTTTACTTTTGGCATCAATGTAATAGATTACTTACTGCAACGAAATAAAATAAGTTCAATATATCGAGAACATTTTTCGTGTTGAGCTATACTGGATGACTCTTGATGTTATTTATATAATACTATTTACTTTTACCTATGCAGCATGGCAAATTTATACGTTCCTTATTCTTTGTTAATTTGCTTGATTTTTTCTCCTATCTTTATTTTTTTTTGCTATACACTCTATCGTGAACATTTGCACATGGAACGATACACCTGAGTGATTTATGCACAGGCAATCTTCCACAGCAAATAACATTCATAATACATATTTATATCTCAAACGTTATCGAAAAATAAAAGACAGAGGAAAAAATCAGATGATTTTTTTATTTTGAAATGCATAATATATTATACTCATGAATATGAATGCAGACTTATCAATTGATTTTAAATCCTCAATTATAGTATAATATGTTTCTAAAAATAGAACCTATCTTCTAGTGAAAAATATTCATGGGAAAATCATGATTATTTTTGATTATCGGTCTCAAAATCTCATTTTTTTTTGTACGGATCTTCCAATTTTCGCAGAAAATCTGAGTAAAACTTATAAATTAATTGAAAAAATAAGCTACTTCATCGATTATTCTTGATTATCTCGCTTGTAATCAGATTTTCATCGACAATCAATTAAAATCTTAAACAATAAAAATCCAATTCAGGATAATAATTTGATTTAAACGTTAATCGATCCTAATCTATTCAATCGATTATCAAGATGTTGGAGAATATCCATATCAGCTATACAGAAGCAAATGATTTGGATTAATACGAGACATTTTAGATGGAATATAGATTGCTATCAAAACTACGGTAGATGAAAATGTCATGTAATATTTATTAAAACAGAAGTTCTAGGACAAACACGTTATTTCATGATCATGAACAATATTAATGCACTTTCCAAAACATAATTTAGATAAAATAATTTTACCAATAGCACATTCATCCAAAACATGAATCATCAATTTGAAACAATTTATGTAGTTCCAAATTTACTTCATTGGCTGGAGTTTAGCTTGGTAACAACTTCATAGTTTCTAAACAAGAGCAATTCAGAAAAATCATGAAAAATTTGGGTATCGTGTTTGAATCTCGAGAAAAGCGCTTATCTTCGATGTGTATGATTAAAATCTATCAAGAAGTGATGATAAATTAAGGCTGATTAACAGGTAATAATAGATTAAGGAAGATTAATAGATACTAACTCAGTGAAAAATTTAAGGAATTAAAATTTAAAAATGCTATGGACATAGTCGGAATCAATAATCCGATTTTTGTGCAACAAAATCAAAATTATAATCAGTATCAATCGATTATTAGAACCTTATAATCAATTAATATCGATTGTAATCGTTAAAATTTTTCATTGGGCAAGAGCAATAGATTAGCATGTAGGAATAAGGAAGAATTAATTATATTCTATCGGAGTCATTCATAAGTGATCTACAGCTAAAAAATATAACTTATTAACATCCTCGTCTTATTGTCTATAACAGAGCTGTCAACAGGCCACTTTTTTCAGCCTGGCCTGGCCTGCCTGCAGGCTAAACCAGGCCAAATAGTGTTTTTGATTTTTCAGATTAGTAAATTGACACTTTAGCAATAATTTAAGACATCAGTTTCAGTTACGTATTTTATCCTTGATTCTCAAAATAATATGATTGCATATCTTTGCAAAACAAAAGCGCATAATGAAAATCAACTCATTTTTATTAGTTTCTTTTCGGACAATAAATGCTATCATTTAGAAAATATAACGATGAAGTTGATACTGTTTCACCTACACAACAAAAATGTACATAATAGCAAAAAAGCACTATACAATAGAATACACATACACTTTATGAAAATTAATTTAGCAAATAAGACATGAGACGAATCGCAAAAAAAGTAATATTTTTAAAGTCCCGCTCTGAAACGAACTTTTTGATTTTTCGCTGTAGTTCAACCAAAATTACAAAGAATGTTAGTCTTCACTAGAACAGATTATAGTTGAAATATCTCCTCAAATCTATGAGTTATTCACGAATTATTATCTATTTATTGGTCAAAAGTACCCTGAATGCGGGCAAGGTTTTTACAATCAGGACACGACCTCAGATAGTGGGACTGTTTTTAAGTTGTAGAGTATCCTTGGCGCTAGATCCTCATAGAGCCCGATTTTCGAAATTTTCTTTGTTTGTTTTATAAAAACTCTTCTCCGCAAACTTCTCGAATTCATGACCAAAAAAAACGCTAATATAATTGAGACATTTGAGTTTTTTTGTCTCGCCAATAGAGAAATTCGAAAATCGGTTTATGTGAGCATCTAGCCCTAACTTCCTTCTATGTAATAAAAACACTTATCATTTCCATGTCGAGTCGTTATGGAGAAAAACCTGAGGGTGTGGCTTGTGGGTGGGTGTGTTGGTGTGGGTGTGGGTGGGGTGTGTGTGGGTGTGTGATGTTAGTCTTCCTTTCATCAAGACAGCACACCCCACACCCACGCTCACCCACACTCACACCCACATCCACACCCCACGCCCTATTTTCGATATTCATAAGTTGAATAAAACTTATGACAATGATTTTACTCTTTTAAGACTATGTATTACAGTATAAACTGAAAATAGAGATATAACATAATCTACATCATTGATTATGAAGGAATATTAAAAGTTTCTTCAAATTTTTTCACGATTTTTAATTTGAAATAGAGAATAACTGATATGAATTGAGAGAAAACTTCCTGCGTAAAAACAAATAATACTCATCACTACGACTCTTTTGATCCTTGACTGAATCCGATCGAACCAGCATCTATCACTGCTTAATGGATTCTGTTTTGAGAACTATTGCTGAACATACACGCCTATACAAAACAACTATATAATATTGTCAGTGACGACCATTTAGAGTAACAAGACCGTGCCTTTTAGTGTTCTGTTGAGACTGTCTAAAATGAGTCGGAAGAGACAGCTTGCTGTTGATCATGACTGTCTCTACTAGTCATAATTTCCGACTACTCATTTTCGTGTATAATGTGAGTATAATTTAAACTAGTGCTTCATTTTCATGATAAGAATATCTGTTTAAACACATTTCAATCTCTTAACGATTTAGCTCGACAATTTCTGTTTCCTCTTCTCAGTTATTCGCTTGTAACTAGAACCATAACTATTTCTAGATGCCATAAATTATAGCTTGAATGTCACTTTCTCATTGATGTTCAAATTCCATCGAATTTTCGACAAAATCAGTATTCCATTGAAATTACTTCTCAATCGAAAGGTCTAAGGTAGTTTAAAATAAAGCCACATTTCCTACAGATCATCCCTGAAACTAAAGCTGGAAGTAATCTACCTGACAAAGTCTACAACAGAAAATGCAGTATTTCTTATAGAGATACCTTCTCTCTTCCACTAACAGAAATGTCTCTCTCATTAAGAGAAACGCTCTTTTCGTCTCCATCCTCAAAAAGAGAAGATACATCATATCTCGCATGTTCCTTTACGTCTCCTGCATCCCTGATTTCCTGAATATATGACACTGTTATTTATCTTTAGTCTTTTATCTTTAACTTAGCTAAAAACATGCATACAATCTCATTTTATTTCATATGATTCTTTGTCTAGTCAAGGAAATTTTGCTTATGATCAAATTAAAAAACAGAATGCCTTTTTGTTCACATTGTCGAATGAATCTTCTGAGAAGAAGTTTAAAAGCAAATGTATCCTACAAGAATCTTGATGAATAATGAAAATAATTAGAAATTTTATATGAATATGAGTGAGACCGGACGAAGTTTGATTTTCTGTTGAAAATTTGAACGAGAATATCTAAGATGTTAAGAATAATGATATGGATCAATATCCTTGTAAGATATATTTGCTTCTAAATAGAAAAAGAAAAATTTCTGTAAAAATACATATTAACAATATTTTATAGGAAGAAGTGAATGGTTCACTCAAATTTCGTAATGTTTCTTTCAAATATCCATCACGCAAAGGAGTACATATATTAAAAAAGTTGTCTTTCACATGTAAAAAAGGTGAAGCAACAGCAATTGTTGGTCCAAATGGTTCGGGTAAATCAACATGTATTGCTTTATTGGAATGTTTTTATGATCCTCAACAAGGTGCAGTTTTACTTGATGGACATGATTTACGTATACTAAATGTTAAATGGCTTCGTTCAATAATTGGTCTTGTACAATAAGAACCTATTCTTTTTAATATTTCAATTCGTGATAACATTGCTTATGGAGATACGACACGAATATTTACAGATGCTGAAATTCATGAAGCTGCTCGACAAGCTGATATTCATGATACTATTATTAGATTAGGACAGGTTAGTCTTACTTTTCAAAAGAATACAAACATTAAATATATTTATTTTTTTTATTGCTAAAGACTTTTTTCTTATAATGATAAAAAAAATAATTAAATATTCATTCTTAACTGTAAACTACCGATTATATGAATATCACTATATAAAATATTAATAATATGATTAATATTGTTTGAAAATAAAATAGAATTAATTTAATTGAAATTTATGGATATGACACAATGTGTGATACTAGTAGTCAAGTTCAATTACCAGGTGGTCAAAAACAACGAATTGCTATTGCACGATTACTTATTCGTAAACCAAAAATAGTTCTTTTTGATGAAGCTACTTCTGCACTTAATGCTGAAGTTGAAGAGGTATGTTTGTTACTATTTAATGTATTTAAAAAAAAAAGAATGAGTTCAATTAGAGAGTTTTTCAAATATTGTTTTTAGAAAATTATGCATATATTTAATCAAACACGAAAAGATCGAACTTGTGTTACAGTTGCTCATCGTCTCTCAACTATCAGAGATAATGAAAAGATAATTGTTTTAGTTCGTGGAAAACTTAAAGAAGAAGGAACTGATGAACAATTATCCGCTAATCCACATGGAACATATTCTCAATTACTTCTACCAGCTGGACTTATTACAATGACTACAAAAAATACGTATAATACTGAAACTGATTACTTTTAATGCTTTTGTTTTTTATTTTCTTGAAGGTAATTTCATTTTTGAATAAAATCTTATCTAATTTTTGTAAATATTTCCATAAAATAGAAATTTATTTTTTATTTTTTCTTATTTTTGTTTTATCAAACAAATTAAAAAATGCTGTATATAATAAATTGTACTGAAAATTACATTACTAGTTTATAGTAACATTAAGTGTTTCAGCCGTTATTAGTGGCTATTTACCAATATACGTAATAACTTACGTTTAATTTCAAGTAAAAGAATGTTTTGTTAATAGAGTTCATTAAATATGACATCTAACAGAAACTTTATTAATATTTAAAATCTCTTACTATAATTAACTTCTTTTAAATGAAGATTTTTTTTTTGAAGTCTGTTAATATTTAAATGATAAAATTGTTCAAGAATATAGGTTATTCAATTATAAAACAAATATTTTGTGAAACCCGATCCAAACGGAGTGTTGAAGTGTATAGGGGTAGAAATTAGCACCCATCTCCCTCTCCCTCACAGATTGTGACCGACAGCATCACAGACCGTGACCAACGGTCTCACAAACCGTGACAGGCAGCGTTGTGAATAGCATCTCAGATCATAAGAGACAGAACTAAACTATTTCTGTGTCATCAGCCACAGTGGCTGTATCGCGTTTGACATTTTAATCCCGTAGGGATTGCGCTAACAGCTTTTTGGATCTTATTACAACTTTAGTGTTATGTAGGCATGCACCAAACCCAAACCCAAACCCAAACCCAAACTGTTTGGGTTTGGTGCATGCCTATTGTTATGCATATGATTTTCAGTCTCTTTATTATTTACTTCTTCACATTTCTCTTGTTTCATCTCTTTTGATTGTCATCTTTCCTGTTTTGTTCATTATGTATTCAACAAATTAGTGAATCTTCATTCACTTTCAATTCATTTTACTATGTTTTCATTATCTTTCATCTCACTGTAGCACCTGAGATTGCATCATAAGAAGAAGTACTTTTAAATATAATCTTGAGATTTTGGCTTCTATATTTTTTTTTTGTTATTCTCAATCATATCGCATCATTTCTACGTATATTATCGTTCGTTAAGTGCTAACAACATTTGCTTAGTCTATTGAATTTCGCTTTGATTTGCAGAAATAATCAGCTACAATGACTTATAGTATAGTCAAGTATATATGAGACTGATCAAAAATAACCGTAACAAGAAGTTAACTTCTAATCGATTTATTATTAATAATATGCAGATGCAGAAAACATTCGATTATGATATAGATTAATCATTGATTGGTGTAAATTTGAGAAAAACATGTGGAACATAAATGAATGGTCGTCGTGCTCTTGGCAACTCATCAATATTGCGTGCATTGTCACCTGGAGCAAGGCGATACGCCATTAATATTCGAGCAATAAATAGCTTGTGAAGACTACGTACAAGATGTTCACCAAGACATCGTCGACTTCGTCCATTACCAAAACCATGCAAGGCTTTTCGTTGTTTTTCATTGAGTTTTTCGAAACGTTCAGGTTGAAAGGCATGTGGATTGGGCCATATGTCTTCACTTCGATTCAATGTTTGCACATCATACATAACCATAGTTTCTTTGGGAACAGTCACTCCGCCGAGAGTCATCTCACAACTGGTTAATTCCGGTACATTAAACATGAAAATGGGTAAGAGACGTTGGCATTCACTCAATATATGATCAAGATAATCGAGTCCTACAAGATCAGCTAATGTAATAGTTTCGTGAGATCTGAATGTCGTTCGATAGCGAATATGTTCACGAGCTTCTTCTTGAACTTGAGGATTGAGTGCAAGTAGAATAAGTGTATTGGCAAAAGTAGCAGCAAAACCATCGGATGGTGCTAGGAGTCCTTCGATGATTGTATCCGACAGTTCTTCATATGTTACATCGGTTTTGCCTTTAGATGCTTGCTGTCGCAGGTACCTCACAAGAATTGAATCATCATTATCTAATTCTCTTTCTAGAGATTCATTTTGAATACAATCTTCCATGATAGTTTGGAGTAGTTTATCCCACTTATGGCGAAAGGCAAGGATATCTGAACGTAAGCAATATGTTTTTGGCAAGAACTATCGAAGGATTGGAAGATTGATATAACGTGCATCAAATGTTGCTGTCATCACAAGTACTAATTCATCAACAAGTTCATGTAATTGTGACAAATATTTATTGCTTTCCGGACCTAGAAACATGTCCATACCAGCATCATGAGCCAAATATTTCAATTCATAGGCTATATCTAAGGGAGCTTGACCTGCTTCTGTTACTAGTGTTTCTAACCGTTTCATAATCGAATCTACTTCACGTTCAAAGCTCATTTCATATTGAATGGCTTGTTTTGGACCAAAGCAATTGTGGAAAAAACGATGGATTCTATTACGATTACGATATGTCTTGAAGCCGATACCTTCACCCATGATTAATAGAAGAGACCAACCAAGTTGAACAACTCGTTCAATCGATGTTTCATCGTGTTGTCGCCAAAATCGATGTACCGCTTCTGGATGAGCTAACATCAGAGCTGGTCGTGGGCCAATCCATATACGATAAACTTGTGGTGTTTTTAATTGTTTACATAGATTCAATAGATAATGTCCGTTACGACTTGTTTGCATTCCAGGAACATCTCCCAGTGGAAAACGATATGAGGTTCCGATAACACCAGGCCAATCACCCATTTTACTAATGGTTCGATGAATGAGATGCCATGCAGTGTTTAAAAAGAGAAACAGAAGTAAGACTGTCATGAAAGACACTCGAAATATTAGGAGAAAACCCATTAAAAGACCAAAGAAGTAGAATCCATTGGGCATATTATTGCTGTCGATGGGTATTTTTTCGTCCTCATCATTCTTTGTGTCTTTGATTAATGTTAATTCATTAACTTTTTCCATTTTATCTGAAATAGAATAAGTACAATATCAATGAGAACTCTTATTCTGGTACTAAAACAAGTCGATCGTTTATTTTTCATATAAATAATTATAAACAAAAAAAAAGATCAAGCAGCAATAAATGAATTTTTACTTCACCCCAATTTCAATCCACATTCACTATATCGAAATAGTTGACTATGATGATTCTTCATTATCTTTACTGGTTGATCTCATTTCGATATCGACAGTGTCATAGGAAGCTGACAAAGAAACTATATATAGAAGAAAAAAATAATTAAACATTGAATAGAGAACTTTTTTTAAAACGATTCTTTTCCAACACTATTTTCACGTAGTTCAAAAAAATACTTACTGTTTGAAATAGTAGATAATAAAGTCAATGGTACATCAATTGGCATATCGATATCATAAATATTGCATAGATTTGATGATTGATTTATACCCATTTCAGCAAGCAATATTGGCGAGTTGCGAACATATTCCAACAAATGAATCATTAGATTGCGTTGATGATCATTTTTTCGTATGCTAGAAGTCAATGTTGGATGAATGATAACAGAACAATGATAGGTGTTGTAATTGATTCCACGAATTAAGGATGGTAACTCATATAAAACATATTCTCGAAGTAGTTCATGTTTTGTTTCTGATAGATTACCCTGTGGTTTACGTACATCAAAATAGTGTTGTACTACTGCATTGATCAGTGTATGAAATTTTTCACTGACAAAAAGATGTGCTCGTATGGCCATGACACATTTGTCATATTCAGCATCATGAATATCGTGCCAACGTAAGAGAATCACACGTTGAGCAAGTTTCAATGGAAGTTGTGAACGTGCTTCGGAGAAGATCTTGAAGAGACGAGTACCTTCATCCAATGCGTACTTAAGAGCAACACCAGTTTTGATATGTTTATTGTGAAATACTGCAAAGTTATATTTTTGAATAGCATCAACAATAAGTACTATAAACATTGTTTGAGAATTATCATGAAATCGTTTCATTTTTTGTTCGAGTGTATATTGCAAAGCTGTACGAGCATACAGAACAGCTATTTCATTAGCATTAGAAAAATCTTGTCGTGTTGACATCAATCGTTGAAACTGACTTGGACTAATGCCAAGACAATAATGTAACTTGTTTTGATCATTAGACAAACTTATATGTTCATGTTGCCAGGGAATTTGAACGATATGCTCCGAAATGTAACCAACTAAAGTCGATTGGTAATCACCAGTATTATATTTGTCAAAATCCATTTTGATAGAAAGTATTCGAAGTAAATTGATTCAATCAAAAAATATCTTATTTTTAAATTCAATTGAGAATGATCTAGCAAGTAATAATCAGCTCCGTTAAATAACCCGCGATGTAAAAGTATCCGTACAAATGTCTGAGGCTATTGCGCAGCGAGAGTAAATCATAGAGATCGAATTAACATATCCTCTGATAGAGTGAAATGAGCTCTTTTGAATGATGTATGTCTTATTCATTCATTAGAAAAAATGAGACTGAGGCAGAAAAAACATGGAGGGCTACTAAAATGCATTGTTATCGGGTGTACCAAAAGTTTTGCAATATTTTTTCGCATATATCTCGGCTTTAGAAAATGATAAATTCATAATTTTTTTCTTAAAAGATGCGCCATGAAAAACTCTACAAAAACTATATATCGAAGTCTCTATTAACTAATTCTCATGGTGTTTTTCATACCTTATATGAACAACTTCCATAGTAGTGCAATGTCCCAGCATGTTGAGCACGATAAAAATGTTAGGAAGGCGCTTTTTCTTTTGCGTATATCTCGGCTTAAGAAAATGATAGCATCTTGATTTATTTTTGAAAGATGCGGTGTCGAAAGCTCTACATAGGTTGCATGAACAAATCTCTATTGCAAAAGAAGTAAGCCTTCCGAACATTTTTATCATGCTCAACATGGTGGGGTGGGTGTGGGTGGAAGCAAGTGACAGATCCACCCACACCCACACCCTCTGATCAATATGATTCAATTACTTTGACCACCACTTTGTCTTCTATCATCATGTTATCATCCTCATCTATTTTTGATCTTGCATCAGGTGTTTATGAATTGATAGCTGATCATATCACCAACTTGTTGATTTTACTTTTTATAAAATCATTTGACGTGAGTTACGTCCCATGGGACGAGAAATTTTTTGGTAGCTGTTTCATCTCATGGGATAGATCAGAATCGCTCGTCTCATCCCATCCCATGCGAAGCCCTGATTCTTTTATACAATTCTACCCCAGTTGTTAAGTATAAGAACGACATTTTGCCATTTTTACGTATGGCATCACAGTTTAGTACACCGATAGAGTTGCTCATATAACCTGCTTCATTATATAAATTGGTTTATTCAACCACTAGATAACTCATCTCTCAATCACATTTCTATTAATCACAAAAGTTTATTATCTTAAGAGAGGTTTCGCCAGTCCATCGAGAATCGTTGGAGAATGATTTTTAAAAAAAAGTTACTCTTTTTCATCTTATTCGATTTCTTGAAAAAAGGTCAGATTATGAAAATTTTTTTAGACCTTTAGGACTTTTCTTAACGGAATTATAGGCTTACGAACAAGAGGAGGGTCAAAAAAATCTCAAGAAAAACATGTTTTTCGTTTTTTTCTAGTATATCGACTATAACTCCATCATTTTTCATCCTTTTTTTCTGCGCCACATTTCACTCGAAAGAGCTCATCAAACTGAACAAAAAAGTCTCTTATGAAACTTCCAAAAAGTGAAAATTTCATAGGAAAAAAATGCATCTTTCAAAGCACCTAGGTTATTCGGAACCAGATTTTTTTCAGTGCAAACCATTTTTCGAGGTTACAAAAGTCGAATAAGAAAATCTAGTATAGTGCATCTTGTAGAGAATTTTGTGCTCTACAAAATCCATGTAAAAAATTTGAGAAAAAGACACTGTCATGTCGTAATTTTCAAGAGAAAGAAGAAAAAAGCGCCTCTTTTCTACGTAAAATTATAGGACAAGCCAAAACCTTCGATCATTTAACCATTAACTACCCATTTTCAAGCAAAATCTATATTATATTTAGAATCAGTATCAAAAACTGATTCAGACAACATATGCTTCGTTAAAAATATTTTTTTGAGTAAATTTCACCTGAAGGGGACCTCATGGAAAAAATTCCTCAAAATGAGCTGAGGGAGAGTACGAGTGAATTTCCTCAAAAAAATAGTTTTAACGAAACATATGTTGTCTGAATCAGTTTTTGATACTGATTCTAAATATAATATGGATTTTGCTTGAAAATGGGTAGTTAATGGTTAAATGATCGAAGGTTTTGGCTTGTCCTATAATTTTACGTAGAAAAGAGGCGCTTTTTTTGTTCTTTCTCTTGAAAATTACGACATGACGTAGTATTTTTTTTCTCAAATTTTTTACATGGATTTTGTAGAGCACAAAATTCTCTACAAGATGCACTATACTAGATTTTCTTATTCGACTTTTGTAACCTCGAAAAATGGTTTGCACTGAAAAAATCTGGTTCCGAATCACCTAGGTGCTTTGAAAGACGCATTTTTTTTCCTATGAAATTTTCACTTTTTGGAAGTTTCATAAGAGACTTTTTTGTTCAGTTTGATGAGCTCTTTCGAGTGAAATGTGGCGCAGAAAAAAAGGATGAAAAATGATGGAGTTATAGTCGATATACTAGAAAAAAACGAAAAACATGTTTTTCTTGAGATTTTTTTGACCCTCCTCTTGTTCGTAAGCCTATAATTCCGTTAAGAAAAGTCCTAAAGGTCTAAAAAAATTTTCATAATCTGACCTTTTTTCAAGAAATCGAATGAGATGAAAAAGAGTAACTTTTTTTTTAAAATCATTCTCCAACGATTCTCGATGGACTGGCGAAACCTCTCTTAATCTCTTGACCTAATTTATTTTACTGGTTTTAAATACCAACTTCTATGAGATAGTTCCCTTACCTTCAAGTGCGTACTACTATGTCGTTTTTGTTTTGAAAAAGAATGAAAGACTATATGGTAACCATCTTCTTATATACAGTTCTTTTTTCTCGCTTTATTTTTTTACTTCCCAAATCGATATCTTTGGGTTTATTCCTACTTTATGATAGCTATCTATTACATGTTATTTATGGAAAAAGAAGAAGAGGAAAACACTTTAAAGATAGCTACGATCGTTTACAAAAAAGGCAATTAACAAAAAAGTTATCTTTTAGTATGTAATGTGATACCGACCAGGAAGTGGGAAAAAAGAACCAAGCAGACCAGGGCTTCGAATGGGATGGGATTATCCCATCTCAACCCATCCCGTGGGACAACTTAATTTTTTGAAATATCCCATGGGATGGGATGGGATGAAGTTCTTGTTCTATGGGATCTTCTTCTTTTTGTCGCATGAAAAAATACAGCTTCTCTTTCAATAAAATATACATTCAAAATATCTTTTAAGAACGATAAATCTTAGTAGTTATTATCCTTTCATAGTTGATCTTTTTGTTCAACACAAAAGGTACAATTTCCTACTTTCTTGTTGTATTGTTGTATGGAAAAAACCTTTCAACATTTATACGGAAATTTAAACAATGAAACCCAAAATTGATTTTGTGGAATCTACGCTTTAAGCTCTATTAATTTTCTTAGCATTATTATTATAAGCATTGGTATACAGACAAAAAGCTTGATCATTAAGAACTTTATCCAGCTATACTTTAAATTAATGTTCAACATAAGTTTGTATTCGTTTTAGTTTAAATGAACCAACGAGTACACAGAAGTGTAATGAGGAATGACTGTAAAAATCTCGAGATAGAAAATGTCGAAAATATATAATCTTCAATGATTAAACTTTCCGCACAGTTGGGTCCGATTGAGAGAATGAAAATAATGTTTATTTCATACCAAGATGACTAAGAGAGAGTGCTTGTGAATGCGAAGAGGTACATATACCGACACCTATATTTTCATCCGTACTCACATCCGTCCTCGCCCTAGCCCTCACCCTGATCCTCGTCCACACCACATATCCTTACCAATCCATCTTTGTTTCATTCTTGAACTAATATCTGAAACTGCAATCGATTCGAAATTTTCTCGGGCTTTTTACAGGATACCGTAATGAGTATGGTTCCGGATCGTTTAGGGATGTGCGGCCAGTGTCAGTGTACCACTGGTTCAGTGAACACCAGTGTCAGTGTGTCATTACAGAAAGTGCGCTCAGTACAGTGGAATCATTGTCAGTATTTCACTGTTTTCACTGAAACTGCACATCCCTAGGATCATTTTCAAAATTGGGAGCAGCTAAAATTTGACAGAAAGAGCATTCTTATAACTTTTTGACTCATAAAAAGCAGAAAATACTCATACTATGCATTTTCTGCGATATTCTGTTAGCAGAAAGTGTTTTTCTTGGATTTTCTATCGGAAAAATGACGAGGAGAACCTATAATTCAAGGTTTTTGCTGGAGTTTACCAGGAAGTTCTAAAAATTTTAGCAGAAAGTCAGACGGCTTTTAGAATTTCGGAAGAGGTGGTTAGACCTCCTGATCGGTATGGCTGAGCTTCAACTAGTACGAAATTTACAAAAAATTTAAGGAATTATATCAGATTATGAAAGGCACTTCAGCGACTCTTCGCATGCTTAACAAATTAGCAAAACTGATCTGCATCTGAGTATGTATAAATGGAAGATGCATAGGAGAACAGCATTGTTATTTCCTAAAGCTTAGAGAGATATAATTCACATCTTCTGGAAAAAGAGCAAATCCTGTATCTTGACGAAGTTCAATAAAGTCAGTCGTATCTTGATGAACTGCAATTAATTTACTATAGTATCCACTGGAGTTCCTCAAGATTCTAACATCTTGAACTGTAAGAGTTGGCCTTGAAGACAGCAGTAAAATTTCTAATTGATATAACAAAAATTTCAAATAATCTGGTTGTAATAGGTACATATACTTAGAAAGAAGATGATTGAATACGAAAGTCATCGAAGCCGATTCAGTCTTGGAAAAAAATCCTTCTACTCGAATTGTCCCAGGGGATCCATGGAATGGGATGGGATAGAAAATATCAACTAGTCGTGGGACGATTTTTTCGTCCCATCCTATCCTATTCGAGCCTTGTTGTGTTTGATTCTTTTTTCCCACTTCCTGGTCGGTTTCACATTACATACTAAAAGATAACTTTTTTGTTAATTGCCTTTTTTGTAAACGATCGTAGCTATCTTTAAAGTGTTTTCCTCTTCTTCTTTTTCCA